CCATGTGGTTTGGTAACATGGGGACTGTGCCTTTTTACTTGTCAACCTTGGGGCTTCTCAGCCTCAGCAGCCAGCAGCTGTCTGAGTGAAGAAACACCTCTAGCTCCAGTGGGGCGGGAGCAGAAGGCAGAGCTGGACCCCAAGGTTGAGGGGCTTTCACCCAGCCCCTAAGACTGGCACTTTGAACTTGGACTTAAAGCCTCCAAATTGTAAGAATCAACTCCTGTTTGTTAATGCCATCCCATTTGTGGTATATTTTTATCAGAGCAGCACTAGGTAACCAGAACATACTCCTATTTTCATACACATTGAAATAAGAACTTATTGAAGGTCACAACAGGTAATAAGTGGCCAAACCAAGATGTAAAGCTGATTTTGTTTTTACAGAAGGACAAAAACAGTAAGGAGTCTGTGACATCATATATACATTCAGAACTTTTATTTCAAAACAAAAGAACCACAGTAACATTAATAATAGAAAATCCATTTGGAAATATTCACAACCTGTTCACTGAGAAATGAGAAAACCTCTGTGCTGCATTACTGCCAACCCACTGTTTTTGACTGGCCAAAAGTGGAGGTGCAGTTAGACTAGAGGAGTCACCTGTTTGAACAGAGCTCCACTCATTATGTGGGTTTTTATCCAAAGGCTCAATGCTCAGAGGGAATGATAAGAACTGAGAACTGAAATACTGTCACAGGCAGGGGTTTGGCTAATGGGTTTGTAACCTGTAAACACCAAGGAGAGAAAGGGAGATCAAGCAACATCTGAAAAAATGGGAAGAAGGATGAGTGTCATCAAGGGTCCACTCTCCTTTTATAATACTAGGAATCTAGGAGATGATAGTGGAGCGTTAATGACCTTGTGGCAAGAGTAAATCCCTTCATCACACTTAACCCTCTGAAACTCTCCAGGGCTAGAAGCAAGTCTTCCACTTGCTTCTTATCACCTTAAAACACTGCCATGCTGCTTCTCTTCAGAGCCCCCAAGAGGCCCAGGTGCCTTGATGTTACACTCGTTCCTACTCCCACTGTCTGAGTCCAGAGTGATTACACCCACCATCTTCAACCTCAAGGTTTAGGAAATGCTTTCCCAACTCTCCAAAGTAAAGAGGGCAAATGAGATTGGATTGTAGAGTCTGAAAGAAAGCCAAAGATGTAATTTCCACCCAGCAGTGGCAATGTTATTTATCTATCTATCTCTATATATAGGGATGCATTTCAATACATCCTAATCAAAAGGAAGCAGAAAGAACAGAGAGAAAACAAGTCACCAATAAATTACCTCCACCCAGAACAAAGTGACAGTGCAAATACATTCATACTCTCTCAAGTGTGGGCTACACTGCACATATATTGAGACTATCTCAAATGTGACCTATTAGGAAGATTCAAGTCCCCTTAAAAGTGAAACAACAGACATAGACAACCATGCCATGACCCTAAAGCAACAACACACTTAAACTAGATAATAATCATTCAAGATAAATCCTCTGCTAGACTGAGGTAACAAATTCAAGTTAGTTATGAATATTCTCCTGTAAATTCCTTTAAAGCTATGGATTAAAACAAAAAGAATTAAAACTAAAAGAACAAAATGGAGAAATGCGCTATCAAGAACCAATAATGTAAGCTTCTCATTTGGAGGACTCTCCCACCAGATAGGCAGTGGGAGTATTGAAAAATATGAATCCACTAAAAGGGAAAGGAATGGTTTGGTCCAGTGAAGGGAGAAAGGATTCTAGAAATAACCTTCCCTTCTCTGGGTTCCACCTGAAATTAGAATACATCAATTGCCATCAACTACACTGCCCACCTTAGTAACAGTCCTAGATTTACTACAAGTAAACTATAAAAGTTCCAAAGGAAACCACTAGTTTTCTAAACAGGCACGTGACCTTTCTGAGAAATTAAGCTTGAGAATGTCCATCTAAAGGACAAAAATTGTTAAGAGGTAATATGCAAACCTCAGGCACCACATCTTACACCCTTCAATGAGGTACTATACTCCTGTTTCTCCCTAAATTCTTTCCTTCTTATTGAACCGTAACCTCTCCAGTATCAAATCTTCTACCCTAAAACCTCTCTTTAAACAACTCCCTTTACACCTCAATTTCCGTATGTTTTCCATTATTTTGGTAAAAGTACTTTACAGTTAAAAAAATAAATATTTAGGCAATAAAACCAGAAGACAAAATAAATAAACCTCAAGTTAATTTTCTCTGCAGAGCTGTATGTAAGTGAGAAAAGTAGTCTATTATTTAATCCACCTCTGCCCTCTACTCTTTAAAGATATCTGCTTCCTGGTAGGTCTGAGGTTGGGGGAACTGCACCCCCACTCTTGCTCCCCCATATGCCCTAGCGAGGCAATATTAGAACCTAAAGGAGGAAGAGCTGGCAAGGTTGTTACATGCCAAGTGGCCAGTCCCTCCTGAAATGAAGGTAGGTTCACTTGGTCTCTCCAAAATAGAAGAGAATGTCCAAGAAATAAAACGTTTACAAAGCCATTGAAAATGTGACTAACCCCAACATTGGCTTCATCTGAGCACTCATGAAGTGTGTGGGATGAGAATGGAATCAAGTAGCAGCATTCAGAAACAGTCCTGGGTTACATCCTGATGAAGTCTCTCCCTCATGCAGGGAGAGGTTGAGTGGGAAGGTGGGAAGTGGGAAGGAGGCATGACTTAGACATTGGTGGTGGCTTCCTTCACAGGCTGGATGCTGTTCATCTCCACAACGGGGCCCTTCCCAGATCTACTGGCCTCCTGTGCCTGCCCTTCAAAGGCACGTGTAATATCTTCAAAAGTTCTGCCACGGGTCTCAGGAACTTTGAAGAAGGTGAAGATCAAGAAGATAACAAGGAAGGCAGTAAAGATGATAAAAACGTAGGGCCCTAAAGCACTCTAATGAAAAGAGACAAAAAAGGAGGGTCAGTATTAAAATCTGGTCATTAACAAACTCACATTTTCTTCACATGCAGATTTGCTGATTTCCAATAGACTGCCAGCTATGATCCTCCCATGTTTAATGAAAACAAATTTCTTCAGAGATTTATTTATTTATGATTTCATTGCTAACCTACTGTATTTCTGTGCAATTTTCTTTGTGGTATTTCTTTTCCTAGTCATTAAAGTTAGCTGTTTCTAAACACGACTGAATTATTTTAGGATTTTTGATTATTATTTACAAAATCTTACGAGTTTTTGATAGATTCACAAAAACAGGAAATGCATTCTAAATATCCACTGCCAAGATCTTTTATTTGACCAATCAGTTCTAAGTCATTTTATAACAAGATCTACCTGATTCATTGACATCCTATGCTTACTGAGCCTTTAGGGTCATGAAGCCATGATCAAGCATCCAGTATTGGTTTGGAATCCTTTGAGGCTTATCACCACCATTCTGTTTCTAGGCAGAACTATGCCTGTATCATTTGTAGTGGTTCTTTAGAAGTTTCCAATTTTGCCCTCCTGCTTCAATCTTTTCTGCTGTCATTTCTTCTTTTTCTATGTATCATTAAAAAATGGGGACTCCACCCCAAAAAAAGCCCTAATCCTGCATGGCATCAGTGACCATTATTAAATATACCTTAAACATGCTGGCTTAAGTGGGCTGGTTTCGAGATAAGCTAGGTGAGTTTTGTTCAAATTTACTTACTGCAGCTGAAGGGAAGAGCAGGCCCACCAAAAAGTTGGAGGTCCAGTTGGAACAACCAGCCACTGCCATTGCAGCTGGGCGAGGTCCCTGGCTAAAGAGTTCAGCCACAATAAACCAGGGAATGGGGCCTGGTCCAATTTCAAAGAAAGCCACAAAAATCAAGATAGCCCCAATACAGACAAAGCTCATCCAATTATACTGATCCTATGAAGAAAGAACAAAGGAAAATTAATATTAACGAGAATATGGCCTAGAATCTAGCTTCCCAGACATAAGTTATGACTGATAAAGGTTTCCTATCTTCTAGATTACTTTAATCACGCTACTCTTTCAAATGGAAAATGAATTCAGTAACGGCAAACTCTTTCTGTCCTGTGGTATAATGGAAAGTTACTGGACTTGAAAGCAACAGTCTTAGACTTTTGAATCTTAGGTGTGTAAACTCACATGTCATTTTGCATGAAACCATTTCATCATCTGTAAAATGGGAATAATATTTACCTTAAGATGATTTTAAGAATTAAATTAGATAAAGTATCTTACAAAGTGATATAAATATTATGATTATAACAGTTTAATCACCTGTTTCTGTAGATCTACCTTTCTTTAAACTCTGGGCATCTTGCATCTCCCAAATTTGACTTCACTGATGATCTCCAACCTTAACTATCCAGCCCCCTGTCAGAGTCAACTGTAACCTCCCTTCTTTCCTTCACTCAAAAAGCACTCACCTTTAATAATAAAGAAACAGTCATGAAAAGGGAACAAACAGCCATCCCTCCGAGGCCAAGCATATGTAGAGTCCTCCTTCCTGTCTTTTCGACCAGAAATAGCTAAAAGAATAACAATAGAACATGAAACTTTCCCTTTCATGAAGATACTATAGAAGCTAATGGAATCTATTAGCTTTACTGAGAGGATACTTGTGATAATTTTGTCTTCCCTTTTCTAGTTTCAAGTTCAAAACATCTTATACAATCCCTTCCATGCCTCTTTCCTACCCATCCTATATGTGAAGATCATTTACACCATTATTCAGGTATTTCTTTTCCCAAAAAAAGAATTAAACAAGAGCAAAAAGGTTTGATTAAATGATGGTAGGGAGTTTGAAGGACATGCAATCCATCTTCAAACATCTGTAGTAAGAATTCCTCTTCTCTACCCTCAAAATTATTGAACCATCTAACTTACCGAGACCACAGTGAAGATAGTATTAACCACACCAGCACCAATGGTGGCATAGATTGGCTCACGAACACCTGCGTCTTTGAAGATTCCAGTTGAGTAATAGAAGACCTAAAAGAAAACAAAAGGAAATGCAACTCTGAATTAGCAATTCCTACCAGTTAAAAGGGAGCTCTGGTAGCGTAGTGCCTAAGGCATCTGACTGCTAACCAGAAGGCTGGAGCTTCAAACCCACCAGCCACTCCTCAGAAGGAAGGTTGGGCAATCTACTTCCGTAGTGATACTGCCCTGGAAACCCAAGGAGGGGTCGCTATGAGTCAGGTCTGACTCGACGGCACATAACAACAACAACAACAACAACCAGTTAAAAAATAACTCTCAAAAAGTAAACTCAAAAAAACCCTCTCAAGTTTCAGGAGGTAAGGAGGAGTACTTTCCAGGGTTTCTTTGGTCAATCATAATGTCCTTTTACTGGCAAACATTCTGCATCCTATCTCTATAGTGACCCCTCCTTGGGTTTCTGAGGTGGTATCTCTACAGAAGTAGACCTACATCATCCAATCTTCCTTCCGAAGAGCAGCTGGTGGGTTTGAACCACCAGCCTTCTGGTTAGCAGTCAAGTGCCTTAGGCACTATACCACCAGAGCTCCCATTCTCTTCTTAATTCTCAATTCTAGACACTCAATTCCATTTTTTTTCCTTTATACTGTGCTTATTCCCATTGCTCTATTTAGATTCTTCCTTAAACAACAACAAAAAGAAACCTGTTGCCATCAAGTCGATTTTGACGCAGTGACTCTATAGGACATAGTAGAACTAACTGCCCCATAGGGTTCCCGCAGCTGTATCTGTTGTACATAGGGTCACTATGACTTGGAAATGACTCAAAGGCACCTAACGACAACAATCTTTCTGGAAGCAGACTGACACATCTTTATTCCATGAGACTCTTCTTATATCTACTTCATTCATTTGAATAAAGGTTTAAAGTCCTACTCAGTGTTTTTCAATGGTCCTTTTTCCAAACCTTCAAAACACTGACGTGTCATTTTGATAGTGAAGAAAGTGAGGTCCTCATTTAATTAGGAGCAGAGCTTAGGTTAGAATTCCTAGTCCTAGGCTCTTTCCTGTTTTAAGAAACAATACCAGCTACTATTTTTTATGCTTTCACTATTTGCCAGACACTGTGCTAAAATAAAATGCAAGACTTCTACAACTACTATAGTTAAAGAGATGTCAAAATAGTGGACTTAGACCTCCAGATAGCAAGGGAACATTAACCTACATCATCCAGGTTCAGTCTGTCCCTCAGGTTTGCTTCAGGATTTTATTGTTTTACCCAGAGTATTTGCCTCCACAGCAACATTCTCAGTATTTGATGAACATATGCTTCCACATTAGGATTTACCTCCTCAAGAAACAACCCTTCAAACCTCCAATAGCTAAGATAGAAACTATGTATATCTGTATTTTCTAAAATAAAATTAAGATTGTGCTTTTTTCAAACTGAAGTTTGTAGTGTCTTCCTTATTGAAAATTTGGAGAGAAATATGAATGAGCTATTTAAAACTGGGACAGCTCTGGTAGCATAGTGGCTAAGGCATTTGACTGCTAACCAGAAGGCTGGTGGTTCAAACCCACCAGGCACTCCTCAGAAGGAAGATGGGGCAATCTACTTCCATAGTGATACTGCCTTGGAAACTCAAGGAGGGGTCGCTATGAGTCGGGTCCGACTCGACGGCATATAACAACACAACAACAACATTTAAAACTGTTTTTAAAAATTCCATCATATTTTATGATAAGGTGCTCTGGTGGTGCAGTGATTAAGGCATTTGGCTGCTAGCCAGAAGGTCACTGGTTCAAACCCACCAGCTGCTCTGTGGATGAAGATGAGACAATGTACTTCTATAAAGATTTACAGCTTGGGAACCCTACGGGTTGCTATGAGTTGGAATCAGCTAGATGGCAGTAAGTTTTAGTTTTGTTTTATGGTAACATAAAACTTCTAGGGAAGGATGGTCAAATAGCTTTAACTAAACAATGGTTATGCCAATTCTCTTCCTGATAAACAAGTCCACACATCAAATGCATAATCAAGTTTTTGAAGTGCAGACTTGTTTATCAGGAAGAGAATACTACGCATCATCATTTAACTTAACTTCCGCATCATTTAACTTCCGGTGATAACTTCTGTGAATTAGGATGTTACGTGATTTGGATGTTGTGTAAACACCAGATAATATCTCAGTGAGAGGCAAACAGAATGGTCATGGGGTGAGCCAGGACCTGCACCAGCCAGGGGACTGTGGTTCCATCACCACTGTGGATTGTGCCTGATCTCCAAATGCCATGCCTGGCCCCCAACCACCCACCTGCCCACCACATATACTCACTATCCAACCAGCCAGAGGCACCAACCAGACTTCCTTTCCTTCCTTCCTCCTACCCTGTCTTTCCTGTGCCTCCTAACGGGCTTTAAAGTCTTTTAGTCCTGACTACCCTTCCTCTGCCTTCCCCCCTCCAACCTTTCCTGCTTCTCTTCCTGCCACTATCATTGCAGCAGCCCTGTGGCTGTCCTATAGCAGGTATAGCCTTGGGTCCAGACACATGTCCAGGCTTGAGTGGGGCAGTAACTTCAGCAGGTCAAGTCTCTTAGTTTCTCTGGCAGCATCTGTGTGGTCCCTGCCTGAGGTGAGTGCAGTGGGACAGGAAGCTGAAGAGGGACCCCAGCACCAGCATGGATTCAGAAGCTGGAGAGCTAGTGAAAGCTAGATCAGATCTCCATACTTAGCGAAGTACTTCCACTATGTCCTGTGCTCCCACTGAGATTTCTGAACTCTATTGTAACCTTATGGGACCATGGACATGTATGTAGTGGGACATTAAGCCACATATACTTTTATATAGACAGACATCTCAAGTAAACTTCTTACAGTAACATTATCTTGCTATCTAGTGTCATTAAGCTAAGACAACCTCCACATTATCTCTTCTAAAAGCAGTTTACTCTGCTAGTTAAACACTACCCAACCTCTCATCCTTCTGTTTTTTTAAGGGAAATAAGAAAATACTGTTTCCTCAAAAAAAGGTAGATTAGAAAAGTGATTTCCAAACCCACTATACATCAGATTGAACTTTTCACAGATAAACAGGCAATTCCCAGGCCTCTAGCCAGAGATCATTGATTCAATAGAATTAAGACTCCCTCTCACCCTTGCCCAAGGTAAGGTTGTATGTCGAGGGCAGAATGTGCTCACTAAATCGGGATGCATCTTTAACCTCAAAGCAATGAATTCATATAGCATTTCCTGAAGTGGAAGGAGTCTGTCCTGCAGAGTGCTCATGTTTTCTATCATATGCCATTTCCAGAGGATGATCTCTTTCTGATCCTGTTCTACAGGGCTAGAAATTGGTGAGGCAAGTGAGGTGCCCAGAGCACATAACCTGAGGCATTCACTTTCAAGGCCATGCACTCAAACCAATGCACCTCACCCTGGTCCCAGCTCTATTGCTTTCAAAGTCTAAGGGTATATTTTATTCCAGTGGATCTGCAATTGAGGCAATTTGAGACTGAGATCCACCAAAATTACCTGGCAGGCTTTTCAAACTCTCTTTCCTCCGAGGTGCTGATGTATAAGCCTCCAACCTCTCATGAAAATCACTGTTACTTCAAATTTAAGTGTATCCTTTTGATGCGTGAGGCAGGAGAAAAGGCCAAGGACTAAATTACTGTTTTAAGCACCAAGTGTTTTGCAAAATGATTTTTACAAAATGACTTAATTACATTGATCAAAAATTGGCAGAGAATCCTCAGGGCATGAATCTGTATTTAAAGAGGAAGGACAGAGCATTTCATATCAAAATGTTTTATCTACAAGTCAATAGGATGTATGGGAATAACCTCTTCATAAGATCAGTATTCAAAATCAGGAAACTGATGTATGCATAGAATACATAGGTTACCTACCAAATGCTAGCTTCTATTTTTGCCACCCAATTTAACTACCATAGTCACGATTCTAGTTGTTACATAATATATATATATATATATATATATATAGTAAGGCCAGTTCTGAGTGAAGTTGCTAGTGTCCACCCAGACCTCTTAACCTGATTTCTTATCTGTTGTTCTCCAGGACCTTATACTGATTTTACACTATAATGTCCTGGAAAAGAAAAAACACTAAGATACATCATAATTTCTAGGATATAGGATATACTTTTTTTTTGGTTTACATGATCACTAATGATATCATATTGGATACATCAGAGTTAAAGAAGACTGGAAGTAAAAAATGAGTGGTCAAAAGAGAAGCTTAATAAAAAATCAGATAAATTTTTATTGAGAAGACAGATGTTAACCATAAGTTCCCAAACTATGGGTGATTTAAAATTTTCATTTCATCTGTTTTCTCATTTTCAATTTCATCTATTTTAATTTCACATGGAAAATAATTAACCTGGACAATTTTCTGAGTGGCCGCTATGTGGCACAAACCAAACCCAGTGTGATCAAGTTAATTCTGAGTCATGGTGAGCCTATAGGACAGAGTAGAACTGCCCCATAGGGTTTCCAAGGGTGTAAATCATTACAGAAGCAGACTGTCCCATATTTGGCCTTCGGAGTGCCTGGTGGGTTCCAACTACCACTCTTTGGGTTAGCAGCTTGATGTTAACAGCGCCACCAGAGCACTCTATGTGAGGGACTTTAGAAACTATATATGTTGCATAAGAAGCAACAACTAAAATGTGATGCTACTCACCTTTGTGGGCAGTGTTTTAAGTGAAATATTATAGGGTATCTTTGACACAAAAGCAGATACTCACAGCATTGATTCCTGAGAGCTGCTGGGAGAGCTGAAGCATGATGGAAATGATGATGGGCTGTCGGTAGTTGGGTGCTCTGAAGAGCTCCAGCACAGTGACTTGCTTTTCCTGGGCCATCCTAGCACTCTCATCTTTCATCTCCTGGATGTCCTGGCTCACATCCTGGGTACCCCACAACTGCTGGAGGACTAGTGAAAAGAACAAAGAAGAAAGAAGAAAGATAATGTGCTGTCCCAAATTCATTTTTCCTGTAAGACAGATGGAAAGAAGCCATTCAAGATGAACAAAGTGCCCTGGACATGGCTGACCAATCAGCTTCCATGCAGTAACTTGCCTTCTGACCTCATTCTTCAGTATGGAAAGATTCTAGCTCAAGAATAATCAGAAAACTCTCCACTTGAGTTTTGAGGGAGCAGAGAAGCAGGGAAAGAGGATCACCAAAAAATAAATAAATAAAATTCATCCGATATCCTTAAACCCTAACAGTAAAATTCCTATAGGAAAGATGTGAAAGATACTCACTCTGTTTGGCACTTTCCTCTTCCTTTTTGTTAATGACCAAGAATCTAGGACTTTCAGGGCAAAATGGAAGAGCTGCACTTTGTAAGACAGCTGGAATGATGGTGAACCCTAATAGTACAGGCCATAGCTCTTCAGACCCTAAGATGACTTCCAGACCAAAGATCTAAAAACCAGACAAAGAGAATGCTATAAACCCCATAAAGTCACAAATTATAAAAAAAAAAAACACCCAACTCTTTTTTTAATTTTAATTGTGAATTGGATGAAAGTTTACAGAGCTAATTCATTTTCCATACAGCAGTTCATACACATTTTGTTTATTTATTTATTTTTTAACCACAGGGAAAGTTAACTTTTTCCTTCATCAATCCTGACTACTTTTTAAACTACTATCTGTGAGCTATAGTAATAATTGAAACATAAATATGGTTGAATTTGTGCCAGATAATCTTCTGAGTTCTTTATCTATGTTAATTCATTTAAAAGGCCATGAAATTAACACTCATTAAGTATGAGAAGGTATAGAGTACCTGGGCCACCAGGATTCCGATGACGATGCCCAGCTGGTTCAGAGTGCCGAAGGCACCCCGTAGCGCAGTGGGAGAAACCTCTCCAATGTACATGGGCACAAAACCTGTGCAGAGCCCACAGAAGAGGCCAATAATCAAGCGGCCCAGGATTAGCATTTCAACAGACTCAGCTATTTTACAGAACCCCATAAGGCAGCCACCAGCGATAGCCAATACGTTGACAATAAGCATTGAATTGCGCCTGTAAGGATAAATCAAAGACAGGTGAGGTTAGTAAAATTGACCCTTACCTACATTTCATACAATATAGTTGCTTAGATATTAACAACATAATGACAGATTATTTCAAACAAATTTTTCTGCATCACAGAAACTAATATGCAAAAGGATACTGAGCTTCAGTTGTCCTCCAGGCTAGACTGGGATGACACTTTAATACCATGTTTAATTAATGTTTAATACATTCATGTTTAATTAATTAATTAATGTTAATTAATGTTTAATACATTAATATTGATAACTACAATGAAATAATAAATTAATTCATTTATGTGGTAAATGGTGAGATGAGAGGGAAAGCCACTGAAATAGCTGACAGAAGACTGAAGTAAAAGATCAACGCTTAAAAACTGCTAGAAGTATTGGGAAGAACCAATACCATTATTCTTCAACTAGTGGCATCACTACTGTTGGTGTCACCACCCCCTCCTGGACCTCCTCATGTACCTCATGTATCACATACATAATCCTTAATGATGTTTATTATTAATTTTAGTCACAGAATAGTATGTGATAACTATAGTTATAAGTTGCTTAAATGTAATATTTCTTAGATTATATGAATACTAACAACAAAAGTGTTTTATAAAATGTTTTGAATTACATTATTAGTCACTCAATGGAAGCCTTTTTTGAATTTTCTCATCTTTTTTCTTTAATTACAACTTTATTCTCAAAAGTTATTGATGTAGATTTGTAACATCAATACTAACACCACAATACTGTAGCTACACCACAATACTGTAGCTAAAACACCAGAAAATTTGACAAAATCAGTGATTATAAAAACACCAGTAGCAATGAAAACAGTAACACCTGACTGTAGCACATGTAGATGAAACTGTGAGATTAAAAGCATCATTGTAATTGGGTAATGACAGCTCTGACCTGACCAGAGCGCATTGTTGTTATGTGCCACTGAGTCGGACCCGACTCAAAGCGAGCCCTCTCCTTGGGTTTCTGAGGCAGTATCACTATGGAAGTAGATTGCCCCATCTTCCTTCCAAGGAGTGGCTGCTGGGTTTAAACTGCCAGCCTTCTGGTTAGCAGTCAAATGCCTTCAGGACTACACCACCAGAACTCCCAGAGTGCATTGTTGTTGTTGTTATGTGCTGTTGAGTCGGACCCGACTCATAGCGACCCCTCCTTGGGTTTCTGAGGCAGTATCACTATGGAAGTAGATTGCCCCATCTTCCTTCCGAGGAGTGGCTGGTGGGTTTGAACCGCCAGCCTTCTGGTTAGCAGTCAAGTGCTTTAGCCACTATGCTACCAGAGCTCCTGTCAGCCTTATAGGTATACTGATACATGTAAACCAGGCTTATGAAAAATGTGTTTTTAAAAATGATTTATTTACTTATTATAACTAACCACAGGGTTATTTTCATAAAAAAAAATAAATAAATTCCTGCTGAAACACTACACAAAATTTTATAGACAGTCACTTTGGAGCTCCTCCCTCTAACATTGTCACCTGGTGTAGTTTGCACCCCCTACACCCCACCATCCTTCCAGTGATATCACTGAATTCAACAGTGCTTCTTGACTTTGATTACCTACTGGAATTACTCAGAGAGCTTTCAAAAATACTGACACATAGTTCTCTCCCCCAGAGATGCTGATTTAATTGGCTTGTTAATATCATTTGACACTGGGACTTTTAAAATCTGCCCCAGGAGCTCCTAAATATGCAGCCAAAGTGGAGAACCACTGTTAAAGAGAAAAATTGTTGCTGTTGTTGTTATGTGCCATTGAGTCGGACCCAACTCATAGCGACCCTTCCTTGGGTTTCCGAGGCAGTATCTCTATGGAAGTAGATTGCCCAACCTTCCTTCCGAGGAGTGGCTGGTGGGTTTGAACTGCTAGCCTCCTGGTGAGCAGTCAAGTGCCTTAGCCACTATGCTACCAGAGCTCCTCAAGAGAAAAATTACTTCCCTTATTCCTCTCCCTCACTCCTCTATTAGGTTCTTTTGCTAATAAAATAACAATAGGAAGAGGAAGGAAGAAAGCCATATTGGTTATTGGAGGCCCTAATTAAAATTTTAATGACTTTAGCAGGCAGAGAATAACCTCAAAAACCAAAGCAAAACAAAAATTAAACACTATCAAATAAAACAGATTGCTTGATTAATTTTTAAAACATGAATTCCATTTGCTTCCCAACACATCTAATAAGCAAAGCAAATGGTTCCTTCACCAGCCGTTATTGAAAGCATTCAACCCTGTGACACATTTTATTAAGGTAACTAATAGTGAAGAGATTCAATTTTCTATCTTTGAGGGGGGAAAAAAAAAAATAGGTTTAGTTATTTGGCCATAGTCCATATTTACCACAGACCAAGAATTACAAAATATTTCTCACAGATCCTGCTGTGTAAAAGAATGAAATCACGTACATGGAATCCCAGAAAAGCAAATAATTATTTAGAAAAGTAAGCCAGTTCTGACCTTGTAAATAAAGTATTCTTCTGAGAAATTCCATTGCTCACCTTAGTAGAGAATAATTGACTGAGCCTAAACTAGACTGCAAAGGGCAATCATTCACATGGCCCGTCTCCTAAAAGGCCGAGTGAAAAAACTACACAAGGTAGTAGAGCTCCAAGGAACAGCAGGCACACTCAGTGCCAGTTGACCACGTTTCCTTGATTAGAATTTGAGGTGAACTCATTCAAAAACATCATCACCTCCTTGTCTTAATTTTCAATACTTGTCCTCGATGCAACCGATACAGCCCACTTCTTTGTCCAATTTCAGGTTAATACCTGCCAAAGCGGTTGACAAAGAGTCCAACAGAGAAGGAGCCAATCATACCACCAACGGAGAAGATAGCCACAGACAAGGACCAGAGGGAAGTGAGCAACACTGTTGAGGGAGGTTCTTCTAACCTCTCTTCCAAAGTGTAATTGAGAAAGTCCCTTATGATCTGCAAAATAAAATGGTTGACAGGAGGACAGACTGTTACAGTAGGATTAGAACAAGAGACAAATGTTGGGAACTTATTTTTCTTAACACAACAAATATTTCAATTACTTCCTAAGTAGAGAATCAAGGGTATGAATAGATGGGAATGAAAAGGACAGATAAAAAACTGAAGTTAATGTTTGTTGCTAGTTGACTTTAAATCAATTCCAACTCATGGAGACCCCATGTGTGGAGAGTAGAACTGCTCCATAAGGTATGTGACTGTATGCTCCATAAGGTATGTGCCTGTGACCTTTTGGAAGCAGCTCACCAGGCCTGTCTTCCAAGGTGCTTCTGGGTAGGTTTGAACCATCAACCTTTTGGCTAATAGAAGACTTAATCATTTGTGCCACCCAGGGACCTGCAGTTAATGTTAAAAAAACAAAAACAAAACCCACTGGCATCGAGTCTATTCTCACTCACAGTGACCCTACAGGACAGAGGAGAACTACACCAAAGCGTTTCCAAAGCTGTAAATCTTCATGAAAACAGACTGCCTCATCTTTCTCCCACGGAGCAACTGGTGAGTTTGAACCACCAACCTTTTAGTCAGCAGCCAAATGATTTAACCAATCTGCCACCAGAGCTTCTTGGAGTTAATTTTCTAGCTCTAAAAAGAGCAGTTATTTATTTGTCCTGAAAATCCCAGTAGGTGGCAGTACTGATGTTCAGTGACTGCCCTGTTGTTGTGTGCAGTCAAGTCGGACCTGACTCATAGCGACCCCTCCTTGGGTTTCGGAGGCGGTAGTAGATTGCCCAACCTTCCTTCCGAGGAATGGCTGGTGGGTTTGAACCGGTTAGCAGTCAAGTGCCTTAGGCACTACGCTACCAGAGCTCCCAGTGACTGCCCTAGTGCTCTCCTAAGAGGTAAAATCAAACCATTGCCATCAGAGTAGATTCTCAACTACTGGTGGCCCTACAGGACAGAGTAGAACTGCCCCATACCAGTTTTCGTGGCTGCAATCATCATAAAAGCCCTCTTTTGCCCTCTGAGCCACTGGGTGGGTTCAAACTACTTCAGTTAGCAACCCAGAACCTAGCTACTGCACCACCAGGGCTCCTTAACTATTCCTTAAGAGCTAATAAAGGGGATCTCTATCATCACAGGATGAAAGTGAGGTGTGCAGGGTAGGTAACAAATGAGCTTTGGTTAAATGACTCAACAACACTTCCCCATTAATATGTTCTCCTTTTTCACCAAAGACAAGCTAGATAGCAAGTTTGTCTTCAATTCTGAATTCTTGAAACTCTACTTAAAATAAAAATAACTTCCCTACTCAAATTCTAACTCTAGTTGTCTAGTACTCACTATCTCAGGAGCATTGATGACACCAGTGTTGTAGCCAAACTGGAAAGAGCCGATTGTAGCAACGCTGATGGCGAAGACCAGAGAGGCGGTGACCTGGCGGAGGTGGGGAAAAAAAAGTCCTTAAAACTTTTGTCTCTTATTAACTAAGGAGATGCACTAGGAGAGCTTGGTCTATGACTAGGATGAGAATTAGATGAGATTTCTGTAATGAATGGGAGTCACAAAGGAATAGGTTATACTGAAGAACTTACCTAGAGATACACAAAAAATATGTAGTTAACTTGGGAAACGTAGCAAGAAAATTTGAGAAGGAAGTTAAGAACAACTGCGTTGGAAAGTTCGGAAACATTTTAAAAACTATTCCCGGTAAAGGCAAAGATAGAATTGTGCTCAGGAATATAATATAAAGAACTAGGAGGACAAAGGAAAGACAGCTTTAGGATTGCTAACACCTGATTACCTTGAAAACAAGCTAGATCCAGTAATCAACTACACCCTAGATTCCACAAAAGTCCAGAGTGATGGTGGTGGTGATATATGTGAAGATACTGGACTACTCTTTAATGAAGTGTTATCTCTCTGGACCATGTAATTTATCTGCTCACTCTATCCTGTTGTCCATTTGAAATTTTTCTGTTGTTTCCTGAATACTGTACTGCTATCCCCCACCCAGCAGGGGGAGAAAACACACTTACTCTCAGCCCAATACACAGAAGACATTTCTTGTGGGGTGGAGGGGTTCAGATCAACTCAGTCACCTTCTCATCTTGCTGGGAATAATCCAAGGGGATATATACTAGATTTCCACCTCAGGGAAGCTCAGTTTTTATGCCTGATGCCATTTCTACATGCCTAACTCCGTTAACCACTTTTTTATCTTAAACTCCTTCCCTAAGAATTGAAGCCCAGAAGCTTCAGCTCCGGGAGTTGACCTTGCTTGAGGCCTCCCAGCCATCTCAGTCCCAAGTGAGCAGAAACACCCAAGGCTTCTGCCAATGCACAGCTCTTTTTTAACCTTTTTCCCTTTCGTAGAAATCTCTCTTTCACACTCTACATTATTAATTATCCTCAAAGTCCTTTACATCCTTCCCATTTTTCCATCCCTTGTTTTCTTTTATTTTCAAGTCAGTTTATCTTAGTGAAAATGTCTTCTTCCTCCACAAACACTGCATACAATTAACAAATATATCAATATAGCCTTCATTCACAATCATATCTACAATACAAAGGTCACTTGAATTCTCTCTGCTTAGTATTATCCAAGGAACACTGGAGGTTACATATATAGAACAGATGGCAGTTGATTGAGGTACCGCCCCCCCCCCCCGCGCCCCGACTGAATCCCAGGTCCCTCCAAGGTCTAATGCTTCCAAAAGAAATCATCACGATGGCCCTTAGAGCCACACGGATAAACAACACAACCAGTCCCCATCCTATGAACACTCAACCATCTCATCCTCAGCATAAAATAATGTAAAATAAACCTGAAAAAAAAAAAACCACAACTTCTCCAGGTGACTTCTCCCCTATAAAGGTGAAAATGGTACAGAAATAAATCCTTTTTGGATATAATGTTCAAAGACAACTGGTGAAATTGTAGCATTGCAGGCTGGAGGAGAAATGAAAAGGCCTTAGGATGACTTAGAAGAAAATAGAACGCGACAGTCACGATTAAGGTTTGCCTTTCTAAGTGTCTCCGAAACAGACGAAAATAAAAAATAGTTACATCATTCTTACCTTCTCTGTCCCCATGGCTCTAATTGAATTATTTCTGAATCTTCAATAAAGATGTAGGAGTGGGATTCCAGAAACTCCTCTTCAGCCCACAAAAGCTTCAAAATGTCCTTTTCGGCAAGTTTTCTTCAGGTCTTCAGTAACTCAGACACAATTCTCACTGGGGGAAAACATCTCAGACAGCTAAATGCCAGCGACCATTTATAATCTCCATCAGGGGTGGAGCTAGGAAGGGAGTCAAGCCCCCCCCAGTCCCACCCAACTCACGCCCCCGAATAATCTTGTGACCTCTCGGAATTTTGTGACCTCAAATATCGGTACTCCTTTCCTCCGGGGGCACGCAATAACCACATCCTGCTAGCCCTCATCCTTACTACTCCTTTTTCAGTTTCACAGATAAAACTCTACCAGAAAAGCCCGGAGGTAGAGCAGGCACATTTATTTTGGCTTTCCCTTCTGCTCGGGATTGAATTAACCTACAAAAAGATGAGAATAAATGCTATTTATGAAAGGCAAATACAAATGACTGCTGCTATCAGAGAATTAAGGCTGTATATGAAGAAGTGTAAGCAAAAAGAAAAATTTAAAAAAATCATAAACCTTTGAATTTTATCATCTGTTTTGAATGTAAACTAGGTTTATAGTTTTAAGGGGGAGGGAGGGCAATCTCAGAGAACCAAAGGAAAAATTTGTCCTGTTTTTGGCTTCCACTTGTCCTCTGATAGGAGCTCTGGTGGCATCGTGCCTAAGGCATTTGACTGCTAACCAGAAGGCTGGTGGTTCAAACCCACCAGCCACTTCTTGGAAGGAAGGTTGGGCAATCTACTTCCATAGTAATACTGCTTTGGAAACGCAGGCAGGGGTTGCTATGAGTTGGTCCAACTCCACGGCACATAACAACCACCTAGGATGAAGGAAACCTGAATTTCTAGGAGTCAGACCAAGTCTCCTGGGCTGCTGGAATGAAAGGAACCAACTGCCTGAGGAACATAATCCAAATATCTTAATGTGGCATTCACCATACCACCCTGTCTGAATTCTACCCATTCTGCAACATTTTGCCTATTGCCATCTAAACATAGAATAGTTATCAGACGCAATTAAACAAATATTTGCTGAGCATATATCCAGATAATTTCCAAGAAATTGGTGATTCATCAATGAATACGACAAGAAAGTCCTGGTTCTTACAGAATTTAGAGATTTTCCTTATTCCTTCCATTTAAAAAAGGAACAAGGCTAATTGCTTTTCACACAACTGGAGCAGACTATCAATGTCTTATTAGTTAAGGACTGTAAATTTCTTGAAAAACGTGTAAAAAAGTCTGATTACTAGGGTATAGTAGAAAATTGAAAGAAAGAAGTAGAAAAAAAGATAAGAAAGATGAAGAGTAATGGACAGAGGCTCCAGTGTGAGAGTAAACAAAGCAAAACCAATTTGGTTTATTGTTAAAGGAGTTGGGTAAGTGAGAGGTAATGTTAAGGGAAGAGAACAATAGTCAGATTCCTAGTGGCCATTAATCTGTAGCCTAGCAACCTGTGTAGTACAAGGGGGTAAAAGAAGCAGGGTAAACAGAAAACATTTTTCTAAATGGTAGGAAGTGTATCTTCCTTTTGGGTTTGGGTTGAGGGCCTAGAATGCAAATTGATACTACTAGACATGAAACAAACCAAACTAAGTTGTCTTTTTCCTAAAATGAGACTTTTCTAACAAGACAATTACCAGATAATGGAGGATGAAGGAAAGGAAAGCCAAGAAAACTTTCCCAGATGTTACATTTCCCCTCCCCCATCTCACCCTTGCCTTCCAGGAAACACACAGCCTGGTGGCCCTTTTAGTTACCACAGCAACTGAATTTAGCAGCCAAAGTAAAAAGAACATCCCAAAGGAAAGAGAATAGCTGTCCAATAGAAATATAATAAGAAGCACATATGTAATATTAAATTTTCTAGTAACCACATTAAAACCTTTAAAAAACAAGAGAAATTAAATTTAGTCATATATTTTACTTGACCTAATATACCCAAAATACTACCATTTCAGCATATAATTAATATAAAAATTATTTTATATTCTTTTTTCCATACTGTCTTTGAAAGCAAATGTGTATTTTACACTTACAAAAATCTCCAGTTTAGACTCTAAATTTTGTCTAGTTAAGTGAAATGTAGTCTTATCAAAACAACAAAGTTGTATTTAACAGACAGCCAGAGTGAGTTCTACTCTTCCCTTGCATTTACAATATAGATACTCTTCATATAGAGTAACTTATGAGTAATATATACTCTTCATATAGAGTAACTTTTGTTATAGTGAGTCTGTATTTTAATCTTTCTTAATCTGGCTAGGTGTGCGCAGAAGTCATTTGGATCTGAAAACACTGTCGAAAATAAGCCCTCAAGTGAAGACAAAAAATTTGAGAAATGTGGATTTTCCTCCCTAAACAGGGTTTCAACCATTCTTCATTCCACAGGATTCTAAGGACCTAAACCCAGCTTGAAGATCTTTATCACTTTCTAAGCAGCTTCCCTGCACCACTTTCCTTCAGAATTTAATCCATCCCCCACCAATGCTGGATGAATTACCCTTAAAAAACCAGTGATCATACCAATGTTCCACTCAAAAACCGTCAATGGCTATTGAATAAAGTCTAAATAAGGACATCCAATAAAAATAAAATGTGAGCCACATGTGTAATTTAAAATTTCACAGCCTCATTAAAAAATTTTTTTAAAAATTAATTGTAATATATTTTATTCTAACTAATATATCCAAAATATTCTAACTTCAACATATACTCAGTATAAAAAGCAGTAATGAGATATTCTACATTTTTTTGTACTAGGTCTTTGAAATCCAAAGTGTATTTCACACTTAAAAAAAAAACCCAAACTCATTGCCATTGACTCATTTCCAACTCATAGCGACCCCCATTGGGTTTCCAAGGCTATAAATCTTTAAGGAAGTAGATTGCCCCATCTTCCTTCCGCTATGAGTCGGACCCGACTCGATGGCAGTGAGTTTAGTGTTTTGGTTTTTATAAATGTAACTTATTTTGGTTGAAAAAAATTAGTGCCCCAATTGAGATGTGCTGTAAGTGTATTCCCGTTAAAACAATAAAGTTGTGTTTAACGGAAAAAAGTTTTTATATTACTTCAGTTTTTTAAATATTCCATTAAATGGATTAAAATGGAATTAAATTAACAATTAATAACTCGATTAGACTCATAGCGGACCCCTCCATGGGTTTCAGAGGCAGTATCCTCTATGGAGGGAGTTCTGGTAGCGTAGTGCCTAAGGCACTTGACTGCTAATCAGAAGGCTGGTGGTTCAAAC